ATTACTGAAATTTTGTTTGGCTACTTAAGACATAATCTGCATTCGAATTGAGGTTCTTTAAACACAGAATTTGATATTTTGGCGACGAGTCAATTTAGTACATTTATTGTTTAATTCGACCTCTTAAAATAGACAACAGCAGATGGAACGACTGTCATATCCCAGCCACAAGTGGTCGCCACTGCTGGTGGCGCTGGTGGTCTTCAAGTTCTCCAAGTTATTCAACCGACTACAGTTCAGACATCTGCTTCTGTCAACGCAGCGTCAGGTGTTGGTGTTGCAAATGCCTCGTCTCCAGTTTCGGGGGTGAATGCAGCTGGACATGCACATGATGCCAATGGGGCTGTTCAACGAGTCACTGCACAAACACTTCAAATTCAGGTATCTAGGACATTTGAATTTTAGCTATATTTTACACTATTGCAAAAGGGTGAGTTATATAATTTAAATATATATGTTTTCGAGAATATTACTAGTCCTTCAGTACAATTTTAGTTGTGCTAGATTCCTTAAGGTGATTTAAGAGCTTAAAATTGAATGTTCAATAATAAGATGAGCAAACCTTGGGATGCCATTGAATTTCACTTGACCCTATCTCGGTAAAGGCTCTCGTCTAGGGTGGGCTCCATTTTCGACCTCGCTTGATTCTCGTTAGCGCCTCTAATGGGATTCTATACTTGGTCATGGTTATCGTGGCAAGTTACCATTCCACTGCACAGCCAATATACCTCAGGACAGATGTGACTTTCAAGGCAAGTCATGTATCACATGTAGTTGGATTATTAATTATGCAAACATATTTGTTGTTACGGTCGAAGACTACTTATTTTCGCTACAAGTATGCTTTCGAGACCAGTAATTCTTAAAAGCCCATAGACGTGGTTTGACCTCGTTTTCTCATTTTCGTCGTATTCCATACAACTGCAGATAGCCTCTGAATAGGAAAGGCTAAGTTAGCCTCACTTATATCCTTAGGCCCATTTATCTCATTGTGGGAAAACTCAATTATCAGTCCTTGAATCCCTTTAATCGACCTGGAGTGACTTGGTTCACTGTCTGGTTTCATTTGAATTGATTTCATTTTCATTGCTTCTTTACTTCTCCAAGAACAGCTTTCCTCTTATCCGAGTAGACTACAAAAGATACGGTATCACCTCTTCACAGTCGTACCATCCAGTTTGTCCAAATCGCGAAAAAGAACAAACCAACTAAAACGAAAGTCCTATATTTATGAATAATTTTGATTGTATTACGAAAATATGGTGCAAAA